ATTATCATATCTACAATATATTTTGATTTCCGTATTTATCTCTTCCTGACATGGGTGAAATCAGTTCATCGTCCTTGTTGTCTCTCTTGTCTTGTCTTCTTTATCGGAGTTAGGTCAATTTGCAATTTAATGGTAATATTGTGTTTGTTTATTGGAAGATAACACTTCTGAAAATAAGATTGAAACAAATAATAGGTCATACGATTATTATGATAAATAATTTTCAATTGATATGCAAACTTACACACTAACTAGTGGGAAGTTCAACTCAATGAAATGTTTCTATAAATATGTTGAAGAAATTTTTACAGAGGAAAGGGACTAAGATGAAGTAATAAAAACATTTTTAAAATTAATTAAAATTAAACAAAAACAAAAAAAAGAAAACAAATTCAACTAAATATTTTCATATCTGCCATATGCTTCTTCTATTATTTTCTTAAAATATATATACATTTCTTAGCTTAAGATAATATTTTAGTAAGCTATTTTCACTACTTACAACAGCACTATTCCACATAAGTACATAGTATGTGCAAAGAAAACAAATATTGATTTGAATTTTATGGGAAATATTTATAAAAAGTCCTTGTAAATACTTCGAATCAATCAAGGTCTTAAAAAAAAAAAAAAAAAACATTAAATCATTAAACAAGTGTCTTTAATGAAAGGTACACATAGCAATTTTTTGAAATATTAAATTTTGGGCAATTGGCGAATGTTTGAATCACCAAAAAAAAAAAAAGAAGACAATTTTTGGTTGATCAAAAGCGTTTAAACTCACTTTTCGAAAATCTCTTAAGTGAAGCTTCGGTGAATTTCCTTCTAAAGACATTCGGAATTCAAATAAAAAGAGCGTATATTCTTGGCGCGTAAAAGGAATGTTTCGAAAAAAACTGAGTCAAATTTTTGCGATGTGTTGTACATGTGTTTGTTTTATTACTTTTTTTTTTTATAAGCCTCTGTACTCATTACGGGACCGGAACAGATCTTTTCATGCCCAAACATTCCTCCTCATTCTCTCCCCTCGGCAATTCTATGCTATACGTCGAATTAGCCCATTTTTTCGTTTGAAAATACTTTCAAATGAAAACAAGTACAAATATTGTAGTCGACCAGAACAGACCATTAAATACCCATCACTACCTCACTTAATACATTCACAACGCCTTTCATTGTTTTAGTTAACAACTTCCCAAAAATATGGTTTTATGGAAGCAGTGGGCGAAAAGGTAATCCGACCCATTCGAACCATTGTCAATAGTGTTCGTCTTTGGATCGAAACACATCGGTATATGAAATTTCGTAAAAATATCTCAAAAATGATGATCTGTAAGTTGAAGTAGGTAAGAATGCCGCACGGACAGACGGACTGACAAGGCTAGAGCGACTTGGAATCACTAACTGAGAAGTTCGAATATCACTCTCTAAATTGATCGTTATAATTAAAGCCGGATTTATTTTAAATGCTTCCGAGTCTTGCATAAATCCCCACAAACGCAATATACCCTGTACCACAAGTGGTGTAGAATATAGTGATAGATAGATCTGAACTAATAAGACTATAACTTGCAAGCAGGTAGTCTTTCGACATAGTTTGCCTTTTTGAAGTGCTCCGGGAGAAAGATTGAAATTTCAAGGGCAAAATTTGTTGTAGTGAATTTTCTCCATATATTCCAGATGATTCAAAGCATCTATAAAGCTAAAAAAAAATAATTTTTTATTATTATATTTCCGAAAATCCATTTTCTTAATATTATTATTAATTTTTTTTTTTTTTGGTTAATATTATAAGATGTTAAAAATATTATGCCAAAAGGTCCAGATCAATTGCGGTAAGACTCGAAGAGAGAGACCCTTTGAAAACTCCCAGCACTGGCACGGACAGTTTAAATCTTTATAGCTTTTAATTCAAAATCCCATTTTTGAAGGTAGTGGTCGTGATTTCTCACAAAAACACACGCCGAAGTACTTGGACCATGTTTCTTCTAGATTGGATTGACTAGTGGAAGAACGAAGGCAATTTATACTTTTGTGCGTGTAACTGTGTGTGCGGCAAAAATTACAAATTTCTACCTAAAAAGTTTGAGTAAACTGAAATCGAATCGAACTTTTGACAAGCAACACTTAAGAAATGCAGTGTATTTGCCTTCATTATGGGTATTTTCCAAATTCGTTTTAGAAAAATTTTTTACATTTTCTTTTCCTCCAATCGATAAACTTATGAAACTTATTATACACTAAAAATAAATTGAAAAGTGTTTTGGCACATATTTACCAAAAACCTCATTATACTTACTTACTGCTTAAAGATATAAAAACAATCAATTATTGCCGCAATACCGGAAAATAAGAAAAAAAAAAGTTAAAATATACGTTTTAAGCTAATTCCCATTAGCCTAATGAAATTTGGTCAAGAAAATCTTGGGGAAGTTTGTGCATTCAACCGTTAGTCATTTGGAAAAATTTATATGGTTTTTATATAAAATAATAAGAAATTAAAGAAATTTCTTTCGAGTGATAATGAAAAATTTTAAGATATTAACTAAAATAAATGTGTAAGGAATTCAAACTAAACCGTCTCACCCTAACATCTTAAGAAGCATAGAATGGGGAAATCAAAATAAATAATAGGTTGGATGGAAAGTTCTGTCGTATTTTAAATAGGCAAGTAATTTTTCTTGTAAACAAAAAATCCACATTTATTAAGTCGAGAAATTGCAGAAGAGTTGGGCATTCATCATACAACTGTTGGCCATCACATTAAATCTGTTGGGCTTATGTTAAAACGCAGTGTTTGGATTCCACATAAATTAACGGAAGAGAATTTGTCTGATCATGTAAGAATGTGTTCATCACATCTGATTAGACACAATATGGAGCCGTTTTTGGACAAGCTGGTTACCGAAGATAAAAAGTGGATTCTTTACGAGAATATTAAAAGAAAAAAAAACGTACTGTAAACCAGGAACATAATTGGAACAACACTTCCAAAGATCCAGTGTACTACGAGTTGCTGAAACGGGGAAAAACCATTAACGCGGATCTGTACTGCAATCAGTTGGATAGATTGAATGCAGCTATCAAAGAAAAAGGGCCTGCATTAGCGTGTAGAAAAGGAATATTGATCCACCACGATAATGCTCGACCGCATGCTGCAATGGTGACACAACAAGAACTCAATGTCCTGAGTCACCCTCCGTATTCACCTGACATCGCACCATGTGATTTTTACCTGTTCAGATCTCTGCAAAATTATCTAACGGGAAAAAAATTCAATTCTTTTGAAAGTTTTTCTAAGGCAGTTGCTGACTAGGACTCCAAGGGCGAGAACTTCTACGAAACAGAAATTCACAGGTTACCTGAAAAATGGCAACAGGTTGTAACAAAGAACGGAGCTTATATATATAATAAACGAATTCAAATATTTTTTTTTAAATACGACAGAAATTTCCCTCCAACCCTCTATTAATAACAATTCTTGATTACCTCAGGGAAAAAGTTCGCGTTTATTTTTTCTATTTTTGTAGAACTGCGCTCTAACGCTCGCATATTTTATAAATCCAAGTCCACATCTTATGGGATATACTTATAAGTTTTCGAGTTACATTTAAGTTTTATTAGTTACTGAAAATCAATGCCACGTATATATAGCACGCTAATCTAACTGATTCAGAATCCGGCTATATTTTTGACGAGGATGACAGCAATAGCAACGATCGTGTACCTGCTGGCAATTCAAGTGTATACAGTGGTTGGTGAAGTTGTCTACGAACCCGAAGATGAAACGCTTCTCGTATCCGATGACAAGATCACGTCGCGTCTCAGTCGACCACATCAAATACGAACACTAATATATAGACAGAAAGTAAACAAAATCCTGATTTGTTTACTTTTCAGGGCAATAAAGCAAACCACAATTTATCTGCTCAAGGTGTTTCAACATGTTTCTGTTCATGCAGGCTAACCTTGTTGTTTTTTTGCTCTCTTGCTTGAGACCATCAATTCGTATTTGCGCTAACATGCCACGAATTTAATCGTAGCTTTATAAATGTGGCAAGTAAACTAACTACAAGTTAGCTCGGCATTGACCACCAACACGTTAAGCATAGTTCAGGCGAAAAAGCACTTTTTTTACGTCATCTGTTTTATTTCTCTTGAAAATTATTCCTAAAACTATGCAATTAATTAAGTAAGAGTTAATCTTAAATAATTGCATGCTGTTTATTGCATTGAAACTTTAGTTGCAACTTTAAACGATTAATTTCCAATCTTTTTTCCTTTGCAACTATTATTTTAAGAAAAATCTATTAAGTAATTAAATAAACCGCATTTCTTATTCAATTCTATTAAAAAATATTCATGAATAATTTTAATGAATATATATATATATATATAGAGTTGATTACAGTGAAGCAAAAAAAAAAAAAGAAAAAAAAAAAAGGAATTGAAGAAAAAAAGGACAACTTAAACGTTCTTCGAGAAAAATATGTAGAAATGCAAATGCATGCAAATGAAATGCGTTGCAGCAGCATTAGTTGGAATTTTGCATAAAGAAAACTTTCCTAACTAACGCAGGAAAGAGTCGAATTAAGTCAAAATATAAAAGCGTTGTGAAAAAGTAACTTTCTTAATTAAATTCATAGTCAGAGAGTAAAAGAAATAAGAGATAAATTAGCTCATAGCACAAACGCTCACGCATACACGTGTGCATAAAAGCCAGTAAAGTTTCATTTTCATGTTCTTCTTACCGTACTTTTTGTTCTTTGTTTAATAGTCACCTTTCATTTGCATACGAAATAACAAAAGGCAGCTTATGACAAGAACGGAAAGATAGATGGTGAGAAAGATGAAAAGAGAAAAAGAATGAGAAAGCGAAAGCGAAAGAGAGAGATACGCACAATGCAATTTTCATTTCATTTTCTTTTAGTTAATATTTTACTTATTTTCTTCGAACTTTATTACAATTTTCTTTTTACTCCCTGCTTTCTCGTTTTTAGCCCAAATTAATACGGAAATACGGTTACCCTTCAGAAACGCATACCGTATTCACTAAGGACGGCTACATACTCGAAATGCATCGCATACCAAAAAAAGGCGCCCAACCAGTGCTTTTAATGCACGGCATATTGGATACCTCAGCTACATGGGTATTAATGGGTCCTAAATCCGGTTTGGGTAGGTTATGTATATAAATACATATGTATATATGTATGTATTTTCAAACATACCATCTGTTGCTGACTTGCATCTGTGTGAGATGCATTAAAAAAAAACAAACAAACAAACATTCATTAGCATTTTCAACTTTTTTGTCCAATATTTTGTTTGATGGTTTGGGGATTATTTGATTTTCTAGGTTATGTACTTTCCGACTTGGGCTACGATGTATGGATGGGTAATGCACGCGGCAATCGTTACTCGAAAAATCACACCAGCCTTAATAGCGATTATGTCGAATTCTGGGATTTCACATTTCACGAGATGGGCAAATACGATTTACCAGCCAATATTGACTATATACTGGCCAACACCGGTTACGATCAATTACATTACATAGGTCACTCACAGGTTGGTATCAGACTCTTCGCATGTGAAGATCATAGAAATAAAAAATCCGATTAACATTTGATCCATTGCTTTAATACATCTATTAAAGGCAAGAGATAGCTCTTGGTTTTTACTATAATCGATTAAATAAGAGATACGTATGCGATAAAAATTTATGATAAAATATTTGTCCTTCAATTGTTTAGAGGCTCTCCAACGCGATAGAGACAACATTTGCCCTAATAATGTTAAACAATTTTTTAATAAAGAAGAACTTTATTGTAAAATCCAATAACAGACGATATCGTCTGTTTGCAGACCATAAAAACCGAATTGTTACCTAAATTGCTCTTTAGATGTAACAGGTAGAAGAAGGTAGAGTACTATATTAACCATTTCTGTGATAAATTTAAACGCTACAGTAGTTATTCTTAGAGAGTGGCGAGTCTTCATTCCAAACGTGAAAAGGTTTAAATTCATTTCAGATAACTAATTGAGCACAAGTTACTACAATCCAGACTTGAACATAGGGCCTATCGCCTTGGTTCTATTCTGATTCAAGATTACACGACTACTTTCCTGCAATGTTTTGCAATAGTCTTGAACGGCTGCTCCTCATACGGTCGTAAAATTTATTGATAGCTGTATTACGGTATCATGTTGAGTATCGCAATCTTTGCGCTATTTTATCCATTATTAAGTCGTTATACCCATCACGATTGAACAGTAACTTCAACGAGAGCTTGAAGTCGTTTCTGTGACTTCTGCTTGCAATATAAGCCGCTACCAAGACCTTAATTGTTATTTGTCCAGACTCCCCAGACTTGTGCTAATTTTAGTTAATCATTTCTAGATAGAGTTTCAAGCAAGACAAGATCTAGAACTACTATCCTTCAAGCCCAAGTGTGCCCCATGCTAACATCTTAGGTTTCAAAGGCATCCATTAACGTTAGCCACGCTCCGACTTTAGAAAAGGTATGGCTGATAGACTATCCTTAACTTTTAAAGAACTCTCGTATACCAGAATATGTTTAAAATGGCAGTACAAGCTGGAAATTGTTGATGAGATTTTCGATTGCACTTCTTTACATGCTGTCTGAGCTTTCCTCTGTCTGCTATTCGCTGTTAAGATGCCTACGATTCCAAAATAAAAATAGAAACCTGATACTTGAACATATGTATTTTCACTTCATGGCTACGGACCAAAACTGACAAGGCCATGATCAGTTTACAAATATATATAAAAAAGTCGAAGACCTGTAAACTACAAATTTAATAACTAAATATTCAATCAAATATTCAGTCAAAGTATTTAGCGGTGGCTTCGCCGATTGCTGGGGAAAACGGGAACGGTCCACCTTGCCATCTTATATTGATGTGAGCTTATGTTAATGTGTCTATCCGCAAGTTGCGATAATTGCGTGTTTTTTGTAGGAGTGGTAGGCATGTAAGAGAGGTGTAAGGGTGGAGGGAAAGGTTGTCATTACTTGTTTTATTTGCGAATCCCAACTACTGGATTACTAGGACGCGTTTTATTTTTCTGTCGTTCTTTTCTGCGACTTAGACAAGTCCAATAGACGAAGCGATTCCATTAAGTCGACTTAAAATTTTCTCACAGAAAATATCATATTACAAACGGTTTAATTAAAATTGGCTCACCGTCTTCCCTTTTTCTCCCTCTTGGTGTCGCACGGTGGTGGTCACCACCGTGCAGAGGACATTCGCTGACTGGCCGTTCAAGTAAAAAGAAACAAAATAAAAAAATTGTAAAGATATGAAACAAAGCTACCAAGCTGTCAAAAAGCCTTTTTCGAATTTCTTTGATGTGCAAAATTTTATCTCAAAGTCTACACTCGGAGTTTCCTCTCATTGTTCTTTAATTAAATAAAAATAAAAAAAAGAAAAGCAAAAAAACGAAATCCTATTTTTCTTAAGTAATATGGCGAAGCAGATTTGGGCTTTTCGAGACGAAATCACCAACGACTTCTTTTATTCCCCATTATTTATTTGTTTATTTATTAAATTTTTGTTCACCAGGGTACCGCTGTTTTCTGGGTGCTATGCTCAGAGCAACCGCAGTATACACAGAAAATTTTATCCATGCATGCTTTGGCACCCATCGCTTATATAGCTGATATGAAAAGTCCGCTGTTTCGTACCTTGGTGTTATTTTTGGACTTTTTTACGGTACGTAAAACTGTTGTTATGCAATTGATGATAATACTCTTTGTGGTGATGTGATTTCACACTATCGCCTATATAACGCACACAATGGTTTTAACTAATAAATTTCATTTTGCTATGGTATAGGCCGCCTCACGCATGTTGCGCATCACCGAATTCATGCCGAACACGAAATTCCTCGTTGACCACAGTCAGTTGGTGTGTCATGACAATGCCATGACTCAGGAAGTTTGCTCGAATATATTGTTTTTGGTCGCTGGTTACAACTCAGAACAATTGAATAAGGTGAGTAAAAAGCCATACCAGTAAATATAAGTTTATTTCTTGCTTTTTCCTTTTTGACTTTTATGTCGAGCATTTTTTACTTAGGTGCATGTGCAGCATACGCAGGCAAAAAATTAAATGCTTCACTTAACGTGTTGAAAACTCTTTCATTTTTTTCGCCTTTTTACTTTGGTTTTACTCTCGTTATTTCAATAATTATTTTCAGCGCACGTATATCCCAGCTCACGTATAGATAGGATTGCTAGCAATTATACAAAAGGCTCTGTGACACATCTATGATTGTGAGTCGTTTTTGTGGCGGATAATAATTTCAGTGGCATTGTGATGCGTTCACCTTCATTTTTGCGGTTCGTGGCAGGCTTATGGTAATTTCATGTAATACGCTTACGTTCCTCGTAGTAATAGTCCATAGTGTTTGTTATGAAGCCGTTGCCATATCAAACCTGTTCCAGATAAACTTAAGGAATTCAAGAAAATTTATAATTGAATGCATGTTGTATTGAACTGTCGAATAAGTCTATCGTAAGGACCACAACCCGTTTGCTTTCTCATTTCAACTTAAAACAATCAAAAAAAAAAAAAAAAAACAATTGAGTGCAGAATATATTTAACCAGTTGTTGTAGTGCAGTGTAGTCATCTTTGACATTTTCACAGGTTATATAGTAAACGGAGCATTTTCTTTTACCTCACAAGACATATCTTAAAAATTAATATATTTTAAAATTAAGTTAATGCTCGCTGCAATACTTACTATAAAATACTACTAAAGAGAACTGTGATAGTATAACAAGAAAAAGCAAGAAAATTTAAAAGCTGAAGCGAACTCATATGTTGCATATATATGAGATGTCTCTGTTAACTCTGATTGAAGTAGTATTGCTACGTTAGCAGCCATTCGTTCTTGGTACTTCATTAATCTTTCGTTTTCGTTCTTGGCAGGAGCAAAATGTCTATTAAAGTTTCTCTGTTTCATGCTTAATGTTTATAAAGCAAACGCGGACACAACTCTTTCGCTGCCCTTAAATAATAATAACATTTTTTTTATCCGATTCTTTAGTACATATTAAAGCAGGGTGCGGTCGTCATTAAACCCCCTACTCCTCTTTGCTTAATACTGTTATTCATACAACGTCACAGCAATATAGAGTGTTTTATGGAAAGTGTTTGACATCGAAAGTGGTCCAATCCAAAGCATTTCTTATAGCGTTCGTGATGTCAGAACATGCCCATGTATCAAATGTGATCAATGTATCATAACAATCGAGACCTGTAAGTCTAATCCAAGAAAACAAGGTGGATACACGGACAGACCTGCTTAGTAAAAGTGATCCTAAATCGCTCATTATAATGAGAGATGAATCTATATCAAGTCTTTCTGCATTGCATACTTACGCACAAACTTCATATATCATCGTACCACAAATGGTGTAGAGTACAAAAATGTGTTTCACAATATTTTATTTAAATGGAGAGTATATATAGTGCTCTTCGATTATGTTACGGCACTACATCAGTTTATTAAGATTCTGGTCATAATCTCAAAGCTCTAGTTAAAAAAAAAAGCAAATTTGTTTTAAATTTTTTCTTATCATCCTTGCCAGGTTAAGTGTGAAATTAAACATAACGATTAATACTTCGGCAAATTGCGAGTTTAAAAATATGACACACACCTACATACGATATTTTTCAACGTGTCCTCGCTCTGCCTTCCTATCTAATATCCTGCACAAGCTTATGATGTATATTAAGATATACGATCCAAGCAGAATACACATCGTCTCGCTTATCTCTCTCTGCTATTTATCGTATTTAAATTAGGCTTCAAGCAAACATCCACTTGTGCGATGAGTGAAAAAAACCACGAGAGAAAGATTCTGTTAAGCTTCGGTACATTTGATCAAAACGATCGGTTTTAATTTATTTAATCAATCACATAGGGGTGACCGCAGATTCCATAATCTCTCAGAGATAGTTTAAAAATACCATTTTAAGTCTCGTACCCTTTTAAAGCTTCGGGTTTGTTGAATTTTAATAACAGAAACTCTTCGATTTACTTTGCAAGCAAATTTCGAATATATTTTTAAATACTCGTGTGGTATTCGTTACAATACCAGCAATGGAGAACACACTTTTCTTCGACCCTATGTAAGTAAATTCCCTTCGTCTTCCTCTATCTATTAAGTTTGCTGACTAGCAGTGTTCCTATAACACATGTGCAGTGAACACCACTAAGTCCCTTGTGGGATGTACACAATTGCATATATATATATATATATATATATATTTATATATATGTACATATATATATGAATATAAGGCGAGAAATATAATTTCTGCGTTGTTTTTCCCTTCCTCGCCATTGCCGTAGCACTGAGAAAATAAAGATGCACTTAGAAAAAAAATAGTGGAAGTGCATAAAAAGGCTATAGTGATTATTAAATTGAGTTAAAAATTTTTCATTCAAATTCAGAGAACCTTTCGTTTGAAATTTAGAAAACTGGAATCTGGCATAAAATTGAATTTAATACATATAAGCGTTAAAAATTTTCGGGTGTCAAACTTGATATCAAGGACGCTTTACGCAACGAGATTTGCGATACCCATTTCAAGTGCAATAAATTCGAAGGAATAAATACACACGACGAAAGACATAATTCAAAGACGATCTCTGTCTTTAATTTGCTATTAGTTGAAAGTTTTTCTATCAATAGCTGAAGAACTTGACTGAAGCACGAGTGTAAAAGAATGCGATCCGCGCAATTAGAGATCTTGAATAATTTTTGTAAACTATTGAAAATTGCTTGGAAACCCATGACTAGATACATACACACACAACCTTGAAATACCATCACATAAGCGCTATTCATATTTCAAAACTCCTTTCATTAGCGACTCGAATTTGCAATCTTTCGTCGTCGATCTGAGAGTTCTATAAACATGGAATCATAAGCACTATACACACATTGAACTTATGAACTTATGATCAATACGTGTTTCTATTTCACTTAAACGGACAATTTTTTCACATCGTATTTAGCTGGCTGTGCCGAATGGGCTTTGAGTAGAAAAGATGCAAAGTCCTATGTGCAGACCTTTTGCCAAAGTGTAAGGAGCAGTATTGTTGTAGCATTGAATGTAACGAAACATAAACGAAGAAGAAAATGCGCCGTTGGTGGAGAAGAGATTGTTATTAGCTCTGTTCAAGTCGAACAACAATACTACCATGCCAAACAATCAATTCCGAATCTTGGAGAAGCTTGACCATCAATCGAGAATACTTACTGCATTTTTAATAAACATTTAATTTTACTAATAGAGAAGAAATCTAAAACCTAATTAAAGATCCTTTTAGTTGATAGCTTCTTCTTGCTTTGTTCATTTATTGTTTAATCGATCTCCCTCTAATGAAGTGTTGAGTTCGCGTCATAGCGCACATAGCTTGAAGTTTATATCCTCGTCTGGAAGGGATAAGTTTTCTCACAGTAAACAAAAGGAAATTATTTCTTTGCCCAGCTAATGTATCCACCTTTTCGCCACATCAGCCAACAAGTGTTAAAATGTAAACAATTTTGAATTTTAAAATTGAACAATTTCTCTCCATACCGTAAGGCAAGTGTGCATATGCATATGTAGTCACATCGCTTACTCCCTTGTGGTTATTCACGTTTTCGAGCAATGTACACAATTTAACACTTTGCAAGGGTACAATAAATTCCAGTTCATCACCTGTACATGCATACAATATGTTTAATGATTGCGGGCAGCGGTTGCGAGAAACAAAAAAAAAAAAAAAAAAAAAAACCAAAATAATAATAACAGTAGCGAGCACAAACACACTTTAGGGTTGTGTGGCCGATTATATGGCATGTTTTGATAAACACGGGTGTCGCGTAATATTAACTCATAAAAACCGGTCAAGCGATTTAACGTAAAGCGTGCAACTCGTTTCGAAAACCCAACGTACAATTGCATTATAAGAAAATCCATTCTGCGTCGAGAACTTCAATCGGACGCTAAAAACGCGCTGTTGTATAGGAAATTAAGATAAACACGAATATGTTAATGTGTGCACTATCGCACACTACGCAGCATATGAGTGCATATGCTGCTTAAACGAAATAATTAACTAATTCGTGCATAGCAAAGGGATAGCATTCAACTGTCAGATGTTCTACAAAATTTTTCGTCTAGACCGTAAACATTGCGCTGACACGACACTTAACCGAATTTCAGTGCTCTACCCATTGTCCCAATCACTTGCACATATGGACGCATACAGTTGACAACACTCTCTAATGACAGTGGCCACAAGTGTAACAACTAACGCCGACTGATGTCAAAATTTCATTAGTTTTCGTTGACTACTCGTTTCGTTCTCTACTGAAGCTCTCTCTACTGTGTTTTAGATTTTTTCGGTGGTTTTTTTGTTTTTTTTTTTTTTTACTTTTGCTTTTGCTTTTGGTTGGAAATGTAAAGCACGAAAGCGTAACCGCCAAGTGTAAACCGCATACACCCACCCATCTGATGGCTGTCGTTCGCTGCCTTTGTTACATTTGTTAATGTCGTTATACACTTGATTGTTGTTGTTATACGATGTGTACTATGGTTCTATGCGAACTACTAATATTGCCTGTTCTCTGTTAATAGTGTTATTTGTTGCAGTTGTTATTGTTTTTGCGGTTTTTCTTTTTTTCGCATACAAAATAATAATAAAATGCATTATTTATTACATAATTGAAGCAACAATAATGATACGAATTATTGTTATGCTGTAATATTTACATTTCTCTTCACTTTTGCGCTTATCACTTGCCAAAGGAGATATAACTATTTTGTTATTCCGTTCGTTGATTTCATAAAAAGTGGACTTGCTTAATACTCGAAAGATTTTGAAATGATTTAGTGATGTCCGTCTGTCCATCCATCGGAATATGTAACATAAACATTGGTCAAATGTCTGAGAAAAAGTAGAAATTTCGCATTCGTTGAATGCGTCAGTTCAAGTTTGAAAGCATCTTTAAGTCGATCAAAGACTTGAGCAAATATGTGTGACAGTTGGAACCATCCGGGTAATGAAATCGATCTATTGAACTGAAACTATGCGAAATCTTACAGGTAACAAATATTTCGGGCATCTCAGCCTCTCTCTCTCTCTCTCTCTCTCTCTCTCTCTCTCTCTCTCTCTCTCTGTCTATCTATCTATCTATCTATCTATCTATCTATCTATCTACCCATCTATCTATCTATCTATCTATCCGGCACACTTTCCCTCTCTCGTTTTCAGTTTGTCTCTCTCTCACTCATTGAGACTTGTTCTTCTCTCTTTGGTACAAACCGACGAAAAACTTATAAAGTTGTTTAAACGTTCTGCGAGAGTGCTCGAAATTCGCTGCCAAAGCCCATTTACTTAATTCACTTGTTTATAAATACTAAATTAAAAAAAGTTGCTGATGAGATAATAAACAATTTATTTCAATCAAGGGTGACAACTAATCATAAAAATAAATGTTTACATGTGACACTGTAAGTGTTTTTTTGAAAGTATTTACTTACGTTTCTCAGTTGCGTAAATAGATTAAAATTTGCGTAATAAAGATTTTTTACAAACCAACCTAATAAGTAAAACGAAAAAAAAAAAAGAAAATAAATAAACGCACACACACACACCATTTGTAACGCAGGAAATGAACGTTTGAACAGCGGCGGTTTTACTTAATGATAGTTATCTTAGAGGTGCTTGAAGCGCTTGATGAGAACTTTTCAAATTCATATTTAATTTCAAACCATTCTTTTCAAAAGTGATTGCTAGAAAGAAGGAAATAAATATCGCTTAGGATACCTACAAAGCATACAAACAATGTCGAGCACATACATTTACCGCACAAAAACGAGATTAGACTACAAAAGCAATATATTTTTTACACGATTCACAGGACACCTCTGCAAAAGCCGAAATAGCTCTTTGTAGACAGTTTTTCGTATAAAAAGAAAGTTAGCAAAATAATTAATTAATCAATCAAGAATTAAAAAAAAAATAAATTATTTTTCAAAAATATTAAAACATGGCAACGGCAGTTCCGCTCTTGCTTTGCAGCTTTGCGCAATTGACAATTTTCGGGATGGAAAATTTCATATTTCTATAATGGTTTTCCAAGCTTATTGCAAAGAGTTTGAAAGAAAACAATGGGTTTTAGAAAATACTGCATCGAGAAAAACGCATTTAATGTTTTAAAAAGTTGTCTATGAAATGCATGTACGAACGAACAGATTAATCAAATTATTGACAATCGTTGGCTACTACTTGCTCCCATCTATATTCAAATATTTTGCTATTCGCAAAAGACCCTATGTTTGGATAACGTCATAAGAATCAAAGCAACACTCGAGCAAACGCTAACACATCAATTGAAATCCGAGTTAATCGGAACGAACAAAGTATGCTAATTGCAGTGGGAAGAGTAGAACACTTGAGTTTAGAATTGCAAACAATCCCTTTTGCCGTATGCGGCGGAATTTCCAACCTAAGTAGGTACGGTGGCCCCCAGTTCCAAGCGGGACTGCGATGGATAATCGATTTTACCGTCGATGCTACTAATTCGCATTACGCTGTATCATGGTTATTTCGGCCTTAGATGCGGTAAAGCAATCCCTGCTCATCACTCCGCAGCGTTATCCTTCCACTTAATTAGGGAAAATAAAGTTTGCCTCAAATTGAATTTCGCTGGCAGAAAACTACTCGTGATTAAAGCTCCAAGAAATTGTGTTGTGCAAGCTTCAGTGCGATAACGTATACAGTTCCCTCTGGCTTTGAAGACCGCGCTTACAAATGGTGAAGTCATCATTTTATTCTTCATTCAACAGCACTACATGCAGTCTCTCTTCGAAAGCGGGCTGAACGAATTTGTGCTCCCAATATAATAAATTTTTTAAAACTGACCTTTTCCTCTTTCACTTTCCTCAGGTATTCTTCTGTTCCATTGCTCAAAGAGGGAAATGGACGCTTTACACTTTTTGTTGCGAAATTTTTAATTTTATAACTGACTTCGCAATTGCCGACGACAACAACATCATTCGAAGCTTTTACTTTTCTAACAAGGCTCTAGCGCCTTTCGTCTGTTGAATGATCGTCTTGACTATGATAGACCTAACTAATCTTTGTTTCAAAAAATGGTTATCTGAAGGTGGCGTGCCCTTGCACACTTGCAAAAGTCATTCATTAGATTTGTATTGAGTTTTTTGTCTCTCGGTCAAGTAGAATAAATGTTTTTCCAGATTCTCTGGGTCGTAATCATGTCCTTTAATTTTCAAAAAGTAAATGGAACGGTTGCTGCACATATGCCGCGGCCTTTGAAGATTTGTTACGACTTAAATGAAGCGGAAATATGTTCGTCTTAATTGCATATCGAGTTGTTATTCACATGTACACCATGCTAAGCAACAATATTGCAATACAATGACTACTTCCTTAGATCCTTTTTTATTTTCAACAGATTGATAGATTTAATTATGTAAAAGAATTAGGCAAGAGCATGGACATTCGAGTGTGTATGCCTTCTCTTTATTTCACTTAATTCGTAGAAATTTAGATTTAATTTCCATCTTGTTATGTCAATTTCTATTTGCAGACTATGTTACCGGTTATGTTGAGTCATACACCTTCCGGTGCGTCTATCAAGCAACTTGAACACTTTGGTCAACTAATGAAATCGGGGCATTTTCGTAAATTCGATCGCGGTTATTTAAGGAATCAATTGGAATACAATCGTATGACACCACCCGATTATGATTTGTCCAAGGTTAAGGTGCCGGTGGCCCTCTATTATTCGATGAACGATATGTTAGTGTCAACGACTGGCGTTGATCGTTTAGCACGTGAACTGCCACAAGTGATTGACAAATATCTCGTGCCAATGGAGCAATTCAATCATTTAGACTTTTTATGGGCAATCGATGTTAAGACTTTGGTTTACAATCGCTTAATACGAAATTTAAGACGTGTTGAAAATTTCAAATTAAAACATGCTAATAAAGGTCTACAAAACATGGCTACCGCTGGCGTTGCTATCAGTAATAATAACCTACAAAAAATGCATGCACTCGCGACAGCAAGCAACAATACGCCTAATACGCTTCCCTTAACGAATGCCAATGCAAATGCGAACATCAATTTGAATGCGTGAATTTTAATTTTGCACACATAAACATAAACACAAACACACACACAAACACAAACACAAACACACACACATACAATATTTGTTAATGTCTTATTGTTGACATATTGTTCGATGCTAGATTATTTGTTTTTTATAAAAATGTATGTATGTACACTCTTATAGGCATAAGTATGCACATATATTGACTGTGATGACACAATTCTTAAATTTTTCATATTGTCCTTTCAGTGTATTGTTATTCCTAATGTTTTTTTTTTTTTGTGAATGAAAACAATTTTGTGAGTTATATACTGCCGCAATTATTTAATGCAATCCTGAGATTTTTGCTTTTTCTCTTAGATTTAGTTCATCTGAATTTTTGCTAATTTATATATAAAAAAGTTTTGATGTACAAATGCTAACTCATACCTAGATTTAGTTTAGTATTAAAGTTTGCTTATAAATGCTGTTCAGGATAATTTGAAGTTTTATTATATTTATGTTAAGATATTTTACTTCTCTTAGAATAAACATTAACGATTATTTTGTAAAAATTTTATTTAATACATATTTTATACTTTTAAGAAAAGCTGTGATGTCATTCTTTGATGTCAGTGTTCCCCCCAAACACATCAAACGGTAAAAATTTTTTTATTTTTCACTTTCTTCATTCATAGGAAACTGGGAAATGCTCTTTTCTGCCATATAAGGGCTTGGTTTTCATAAGAACCCTTATATATTAGGATCTATAAAACGCACCTATGTGGTCTAAACTGCTTTCGTTAATTTTTGAACTAAATTGCTATTATGGACCAGTTGTCATCATAAAATAGTAAAAATTAACCTTTACTATTACTATTCTTAAGAAATCTTACATAGAGTGGGGTCCAAGAAGTAGATCCATGTGGTTCAAATTTAGTCCACATCATTTTCATGTTAAATTACTACGATTAAAAAATTTTTTATCATAAATCATTAAAAATCAGGACTTTTTGGCATGAAAAGCTTTACATTTCGTGAGAATCCTTATAAGCGATCGCATCCAAAATATAGACTAACGTGGTCTGAATAGCATAAGGTTGTTGCCTATGTGAATTTGCTATTATGAATTAATTTTCCTTATGGTTTAAATAAAATTATAAAAAAATTCAGTTTTCGTAGGAACGATTATACGAGAGGAGGTCGAAAAATCTGCTCCAAGTGAACCAAATTTTTCGCACCAATTTAGAAATTTGAACTATTATTACATAGCGGCTTTTGTCAAGAAATTTTGAAAATTACAATCTTTTGCCATGTAGTGCCTTTTTAAAATAATGCCTTATAGAAAGTGCGTCGAAAATTTGAACCGATTCGAATCATTTTCACTAACGTTTGTCGTTGGATCAAAACGGAGTCCGAGTACCAAACTCCATGCATATATCTCAAAAATTGCAAATTTTACGTTGAACACAAAAACACTTGGATAGACATCAGAGGGACGGACGCGCATACAAACGGATAAGCTTCGATATAAAACCGTTTGCTGAATCACTGATTGATGTAGAATATAAAAAACAAGTGAGTTTATTGTATGAGGCTATAGACGAATTTTTAGTACTCAAGACAAATGTTCGCAGTTTACATTGCACCGTGCCCGTGTCCCTTGACCGATCACGCTAATTTTGAATAGTAAGATAAGCGCAAGGATTTACGATGTTTATACTAGATTTGAAACAAATACCACAACATTTGCGACCCGAAAGAATATTTCTCGCAGACAAGCATGCCGGTAGACAGACGACGAACAATTATGTCAAGGTAGAATTGGAATTTTCTATTACCCATCCATATATATATATACCTTGCAGGGTCTTTGAAAATCCTGTTAAACTAAAGAAAAATTAAAATTGCAAATTTTCGAGATTCAAAAAAAAAAACAAAAATAAAAAATATTAAAAGTTAAAGTATAAACAAAAACCAAAACTGACTACAAATTTTAATTTTAATTAAAAAATAATTATTATAAATTTAAAGCAACATTAATGAAATGAAATCCTCTCTTTCGCTGGAAGGCTTGACCGCAAGAACATACGATTCCCCAAAAAGTCTTTCACCACTTCACAACCCTCTTGCCCAACTGCTAGCACTTGATTACTTATTATTTAAGACTTAAAGATGGCGTTCGTAGTTTTTGCGTATTTGCTACTTCAGCGAAACGCTGAGCAACCTCGTTTTACCTAATAGCTGATATTTAAGTTACTCAACTTAATTGGATTAATTGATTTCTCCTTTATTGTCCATGCGTTTCAACAAACTAAGTCTTCGTTATTATTGCCATCACGTATTCGTTATTCTCAAAAATTCGAAACGAAAAAATGTCGACAATTCATAATATATAGCGACGTGGATGAGTTTACCCCAAGAAATGCTTCACCAGTACTTGACGTATAACTAAGTTATATGTAGTTACGCGTTATATAGCTCCGAGCTAGTGAAAATTACAAGTTATTTTGAACACTGTCGTTACACGTCGCATAACCGAACTCATTTTACATAGATAAGTACGTACATTGTATGCGGATTAATTTCTATACAAGAGAGAATTTATGGCAGACTTACTTGTATTATGAAGAAGAAGAGATCTTACTGAAATTTTGAGTTTTAAACAAGTGATAATTTTACATTTCACACGATATATGCATAGCGCGAAAATAATAGTTTGGATGGACTTCTAGGCATGACGAACGCAGTTAACTGCATAGGTATCTTTACCCGAAAGAGATTTATTACTTTATTACTACTAAGAGATCTTGGTGTCCTAAAGTTTTGCAGCTCTCTTGTTACACAAATTTACAGGCATAGGAGATTCCAAAAAAACATATTATAGACATTAACGTAACGTTCTCTTTTCCATAGAAGGTGATTTAAAAAATTCATCGAGATATATATATAACATATTTTCTAATCCCCGTAATTTAAGATTAGGGTTTCTCGTAGGAACTCAAAAACCTTTCTATCACTTATTAGTTTCAAAAGCATACAAAGTTCGATTTTCTACCGATAGTTCGGCTTTCTGATGAGTAAATTTCTTTTAAGCAAATAATTTTATATAACAAAGACTTGTTTACAAAAATATAAATCCTACTTTAGATATTTTAAGAAATTTAAGCAACAACTCTTTTCCTGGGATTTTTGAGGGAAACGAGTTATTTATCAGCAGGACGTTCGCGACTAATATCGACAGGCGAGAAAGAATTGTAATATGAAGGCCCAGGCTTCGAACTGCTTGCATGTGATGTTCAGCGCGTCCGTGTGGAGTTACTTTGCCGAGAACTCTGAAATGGCATTGCGACACAATTTAATGTGGAGAGAACGACATGTGGGGAGCGGTGTTTAATCTCAATTTGATCCCCTTTATTGGGCTTCTCGTTTCTCACCGATGTTAAGCGATTAATAGAATAGAATGCAGATAATGTAAATATTCCCAATACCATGAAGCAGAGCAATGACACAAGAGTCTGTCGCAAGATTGGGTTTTCCTCCGAATATGCAACGTACTCTGCATTTCTTTGAAGGTAATCCATTGTAAGATTTTCAAATAGAGTAATACATGCATCGGTTCTTAAACGATTAGGGCATGCGCTGATTGGGACATTGCCATCTGAAAGACTTGTAATCTGTTTAGAAAAAAAGAATTCTTTAATGAGTTGCAATAAACTCTGCTTTTTCTTTAGCAATTCTGCACAGTGATCAATTGCTGCAAGCATCCAATTAGTACATATTTGTCCCATCCCCAGTTTTAATTCGTTGCATAAACGTTCCATATTTGTCTTCTTAGGAGCTCACTTGTTTCTTTAAAGAGTTTTGTCATCGATTTTAAACAACGAAAGCGCTCTTGCTCTCCTGATAAGCATATACGTATTTGTGTAAATATAACGGAAACTGTGCGTTTTATTAAAAAATTCCAAGAGCAAATTAATTAGAGGAAAAAAAGCGAACAATAGTTCGACATTAAAACACCGACTATTCAGTTCTGCGTCTACCTTCGATATGTTGATCCATTAAAAAATTCGAAGAAAAATTAGAAAAAAGTTTTATTTGACGTTAAAATGAAAACTATGTTGTAAAGAAAAATTAGACAAATAAAATCATATGATTATTATTAATAATACAAAGGAAATAAATTCTGAGACTAAGGTCTTAAGGTATTACCATCCAATCTATCGGTTTGGATTGGATGCCATTATTTTATTTAAAAGAGTTAAGAGTTGTCAGGCTAGATAGGGTTTATGTGGTTCTTCATTAAAGCGTTAAGAAAAATATTCGGCCGTGCTCTCTCTCTCTCTCTCTCGCTCTCTCTCTCTCTTTCTTTCTTTCTTTCTTTCTTTCTTTCTCCTCTCTCTTTCTCTTCCTCTCCCCTCTCACCAACCGTCTGCCGATTCTACCTCTCGCCATCTTTGTATATCTTTCTCAATCTAACTGCGCCAGGAAGCAAGAAAAAAGCTAGGCGAACATCTTATTGGTTTGGCAGCGATTCACTCATCGACTCATTCAGGACTTCGAAACAGCTTGTCAGCCAAACCATGGTGCACCAATCTGAACAAGTGGTAACCAGGAGGCGCCATGTCTGGTAAGTATGCTGACTATGGCAGAACTATGAGCTGCAATAGTTTAACCTGGACAACTCTTGCAACAAGTGACCAAAGACTTGCATTTTTAATCAATTCATGTCGCCACTTCTAAACCCTTGAAACCAAAACTGACAATTGGAATATGATGGAGCGGATTCATCGTAAGCTTCTGAACGTGTTTGGTGACCTTTGACCCAAGATTTCGTAAAATAAACAACAAAAGCAATGAATTTGTAACAAGAAAAACTTTGAGCGCTTCATGATTAATGTTGGCGTACGCTAAATAAATCAATGAAATGAAAAATTGTTGTTTTTTATATAGGAAGGTCAAAACAATCAACCGTTATGTACACTGATATTTCCCATTTGTTTATTATTTTCAGACTCGATCATTGAATTACTCTCAGATGCTTCTATATTCAGGTGGTTTTCAGACTCGCTCATTGAATTACTCTCAGATATTTCTATAATACGGTAGCTTTGCTAAATTATGAAAAATTGTAATGCCGAAAAGTAGGCAATAACTTTAAAATTTAAAATTGCTATTAACGAGAAAACGCTAAAATAAACTAATATAATAAAAAAATCAACTTAAAATTATTGTTCGCACTATGAATATTAAGATACAGTGAGTATTTTCTTAACGGGAAAACTTTTTAATGGTTACGTTCATTAATAAGTTTTCATTGAACACAACAATCTATCTGTATATATTCACAACATTTGTCATTTTCACTGTCATCGTTACAATGTTGCTAAATTGCTTATACAAATTTGCACTTCATTAAATGTTAGTTTTGAGCTTAATTCCATTTTAAGCACTTTATACGCAATGCTTTGAAACAATTTGTTTGTTGTAACAAACTTTATCCTGTATCGAATTGGCAATTCCGGGCCAACTGTCTTTTGCTTATTTTATAGAAAGAGGAAACAAAAGAGATA